TCTTGGAAGCTCCTGCGAGAGCGCCTCTGCGCCTGGGTGGACACGTTCTGCTCAGCAGTATGGAAGCTGTCTCTGCCTTGTTCGCAGACTCTGCGTGCAACGCCTTGCAGAGTTTGCGCCCGATGCCCTTCTCTGCCGAGCAGGAACTGATTCTCAGCGAAATGATGCCACAGTATTTCGCTCGTGCTCGCTCGGGCTGGCGTGCGGCTTGCGCTCACCCTGAAGCGTTTGTGCCAGCTTCTGCGCCGTGGGCAGACGCGCGATGCTCTTCCCAACGTGCCCTTTGCTCGGAGCTACCTGCTGCAAGGCAACTCCTCCTCTAGTGACTTTGGCCTTGCTTTGTTGTACGACATTCGGCAAAGCTGTGTCTACAATGCTTTGCATGCTTGTCGTGCGCCCTCCTGCTTCAAGCGCGCGCGTCGGTGGTGCCGCTTTGGCTTCTGGCACTGGCAAGACTGCAGTTCTTCGGCTTCCCCTTGTACTTGGATGAAAGTGCCGAGCTCGCGCCGAGCCCCTGCCCGCGCAGCCCGGAAGGCCGCGCTCTATCGCTGGCGCAACAAGCGAGCACTCCGCGTAGACGAAATATCCATGCTTTCGGCCGTAATTGTTTTCGCAGGGCAAAGCAGCTGCACGAGACCTGGGGCCCGATTCTTCCCTGCCTTGGGGCGGTCTCGCCGTCGAAGTCAGTGGCGACTTCCGACAGCTTCCGCCCGTGAAGGCGACCTCCTTAGCCGTGACAACCAGCCCACCGCCGAACCTAACAGCAGCACAAGTGCAAGAGTGGACCGATGCCAAGGGGTAGGGACTCCGAGGCAATACCTGGTTCACTTGGTTCCTGGATCTATTCTTGAGTCTGCGATGCTTGCATGGTCCTGGTACTAGAGTTGTCTGTAGCATCCGTGGTGCTGTGGCGGGGGGGTGCTGGTGCTGGTGCTTGTGCTGGTGGCGTTGGTCGCTGCTCGTCGCTCGGCCGTTCCGTCGTTTGGACCGTGTTCTTTCTTCGGCCCTTCTTTCGTGGGCGCTCAGGCCCTTCCTCGACGGCATCGTGCAGGACCAGCGGCGCCTTGGCTTTGGGTCGGGCGCTGTCGTTCGTGTTGGGTCATGGAATCGCCCCGTCGGTCGGGTTGATCGAGTCGCTCGGTTGTTTCGGTCGCTCGTCTTGTTGAGTTGCCGGGCCTGCTTTGCTTCCCCGCTTGCTTTGCTGCACTTTGTTCTGTCCTGGTTTTGGGGCAGACGGCTGGGCGGTTCGGCTGCCGTTTATGCTGGTGCGGCGGCGGCGGCGGCGGCGGCGGCGGCGGCGGCGGCGGCGGTGGTGGTGGTGGTGGTGGTGGTGGTGGTGGTGGTGATGGTGGTGGTGTTGGTGGTGAGGCGCAGTCGCTCTAGCAAGGCTCAGCATTGTTTTCAACTAAAAGGCTTGTTTGCGCACACTGCGCAGGACTGTGCGGGGTTACCAAGTGCTCGTGACAGGGCGCCTGCGCCAGTGGTTCAGGATCGTGAGCTTCGTTTTGAACTTGATTGACAGTTTGTTTGCGCACCTGCGCAGGACGGCGGGGGATTACCAAGTGCCCCTGACGGGGCACCTGCGCCGGTGGTTCAGGACTGTGGGCCCTGCTCCTGCTGGGGCACCTGCGCCGGGTGGTCAGGACTGCGAGCTTTGTTTAGAGACTGTTTGCCGCGCGCCCTGCAGGGGTGAGGGAAGCCAAGTGCTCCTGACGGGGCCTGCGCGCGGTAATTCAGGACTGTGCTTCATTTGCAACTTGAAATTGGGTGCCCTCACTGCGCAGGACGGTGAGGGATTACCAAGTGCTCCTGCTGGGGCACCTGCGCCGGTGGTTCAGGACTGCGAGCTTTGTTTAGAACTTGTTGCCGCGCCCTGCGCAGGACGGTGAGGAGAAGCCAAGTGCTCCTGACGGGGCACCTGCGCCGGTGGTTCAGGACTGTGCGCCCATTGAACTTGAAACTGGTGGCGCTCACCGCGCAGGACGGTGAGGAGAAGCCCAGTGCTCTTGACGGGGCCCCTGCGCTGGTGGTTCAGGACTGTGAGCTTCGTTTTGAACTTGACCGTTTGTTGGCGCACCCTGCGCAGGACGGTGAGGAGAAGCCAAGTGCTCGAGACGGGGCGCCTGCGCCGGGTGGTTCAGGAGTCTGCTTTGTTTTCAATTAGAGTTTGTTTGCGCAGACTGCGCAGGTTACCGCGTGGCAGGGCGCCTGCGCCGGTGGTTCAGGACTGTGCTCCCATTGAACTTGAAACTGGTGGCGCTCGCCGCGCAGGACGGTGAGGAGAAGCCAAGTTCTCGCGATGGTGCAGCTTGACGTAAGACGCTGGGACTTGCAGGGCGCTGTGGCGGGGGGTGCCGCTGCTGAGCTTGAAACTTGGAGCTTGCTTCCTGCAGTCTGTCCGACGCGGTGGAAACAGCTGTCTGTCCTGTGCCACTGTCGCATTGAAACACAAGCCAAGCTGTCTTTGTGCTCCCGGGTACTCTTGGTGTCTTTCCGGTCGAAAAATATATGTCCCCCGATTCATACCCCCGATTCATACCCGATTCATACCCCGATTCATACCCTTCTGCCATTTGCAGCCAAGAGCCTCTTGCGCTCTGGGCAGTACTAGCGAAGTTATGCCGCCCAAATCCTCAAAAGACACAAAACTCAAAGAGAAGCATTGCAGGAACCAGCTCGCGGCTCTTTTCGCAGAAGTTCGCCAGAAGGTGGGTTCGGAAGGCTTACTGCGATGTATCAAGCGCGACACGGTACACCACCTGTGAGAGGCCCACTAGCCTCTGCGCGGCTGCCGTTTGAGGATGTCACGCTGTCTTGCCCTACGCTGGTTCGTGACTGGTGCGGGTGGCGGGCCTGACTGGGCAGCGGCGCTTCCCCTTAAGCAACGCTTGCTTGGGTCTGTGAGCACGCGGGTCGCTTGAACTCCAAGTGGAGGTGGCCATGACGTTCGCGTCAGGCCCACCTAGCGCAGCAGCTTTCGCTAACCCACTCACGCAGAGTGGCAGCTGTCTAGTTCAGGCCACTCACAAGCGCCCCAGGCTGGCTTGTAGCAGCTAAGCGGTCCAAATTCTCACGGCTATCCAGTTGCCAGCGCACGGGAGCTTTGCAGTGTCCAAAGCCACAAAGCAAGAGTTCAGAGGCGCGCGAGCCATACCCCGAATCATACCCCCGAGCCATACCCCGAACCATCAACCTCCCGGCACGGCCACGTCAAAAAAACACATACCCATATAATTATGCATACACACGTAGGCGTTGGTTGTTTGTCTGGTTGCGTATCTGTCTGTTTGTCTGTTTGTTTGTCTGTCTGTCTGTCGGTCTGTCTGTCTTTCTGTCTGTCTGTTTGTTCTGTGCTGTGTTGATTTGATTTGTTTGGCTTGCTTGCTTGCTTGCTTGCTTGTTTGTTTTGGTTGGTTGGTTTGCTTGGTTTGGTTTGTTTGCTTGTTTGCTTGGTTGCTCGCGTGTGATTGTTTGTTAGTGAGTGGGTGAGCGCCTGCATGTTGCATGGGGTACCTCGAATCAAACTCCCAGCAGAAGGGTAAAGAAAGCACCTCTTAACCTCTTACCCTCTGCCGCTCGCCCCCTCACTTCTCAGCCTTGGACCATGTTTAGGGGCCTCTCAAAGTGAACATTCAGAGGGGTTCCCAAGAATTACTTTGGAGGATGGTTTCCCTCTGAACCGCCGTTTAGACTGTCAGATGCATATCTTCACTGCGTCGCTGTGAAGGATACATGCGGCGTCTCCGCAAGCAGCGGCCGCACCTCTTTGCACGCTTCTCTCATCAAGCGCTCTGGCTGACACACGTATGAGGTTTGCACGAAACATCCTGATATGTCTAAAGCTGATGTGGGAGAGGGGGATACGTGGGAACTAGCCAAATGTTCCTCAAAACCCAAAGCCAGGGGGATGAAACCTAAATGTTCCCATGGCCATTGCAGGTTTGGCATATTTGGACTGCTTCTCAATGCTTCTAATATCCGCCGCGATATGTTGCGTCCAATGGGAGGCTCTGGAAAGAAGGGGTCGTTTTGGAGCCGTGCGTGTTGTTTTGTTGCTTGTGTTCTTTTGGTGTTGTTTTGTTGGCGTCGTGTCAAAATGTGAAAGCACGAGCTCGTGAGTCCTTGAACAGTGACCCAAAGTTTTGAAAGGTACAATATTTCTCTTCTACCTGCTTGGGCATCTGGAGCCATAGGGATCCACACAAGTTCACTTACCACAATAACCTTTCATCCTAGCTTGGAAGCTTTGAGATAGGTGCTTCTTTTGCAGCCCCAAACGGTTCGTGATGTTCACGGTCCCCGTCAATCTCTATGGGTGTTCTTCAAAATTATGGCCCCTTTTGGGATGGTTTCAAAAAGAAGCCAACAGGAAACCACCTCCAGGGGACTCCTTTGAGAAACACCTCTATTTTGGGATTGGCTTATCCCTAAGAGTTGAAGGATCCGTTTTGGGGAAGATGTCCCCCGCGTTGTTCTCCGTTCTGGGGCAGATGTCAATTTGTTTGTTACATTTTATGGCTGACTGAATATGCTTTGTTTTGTTTGGAGGAAGCCTTCACAAGTGGTTTCCCTTTGGTTTCCCTTCAAAACAACCCCATCAAGTGTAAAAAGACACAGGACAGCCAAAACGAAGACGAACAGGTACCCTTTAATCGGTGGTTTGACCCCAATTCCTTGCCTGGTACCCCTAATGTCTGAACCACCCAAACCAAACCAACAGCTAGAAAAGGTGAACTGACACTACCCCACCCTTTGGGTGAGGTTAAAGGGAAACCCAAAGGCTAACAAGCGATTTTAGGGGACCCCTATTTGGAGAAACACCCATGTGTTCTTTTGGGGTACACTCTCGAGGCAAAGGAACACCGCGGTTTGGGGATTTGAACCCCTTCTTGTAGAGGGTAGATGGGAAACCACCCCCCGCACCACCTCCAAACTAGAGGGAAGCCGGTTCATCAAGAATCGAGGCCATGCCTCGAGCGTTTCAATCCTCGGGCATCGAGGTTTGGATGCCGCGGCATCACCCGGCAGCGCGGGCGGTTCAAGCTCGCATTGCAGAGGCTCGCATTGCGGGACTGCCGAAATCCGCTCAGAGCCGCAGATATGGCTGCAGAATTTAATTTGGGGCACCCTCGGAAAGGTTGTTGGACATAAATATCCACCTACGTGGTGTCCACCGAAGGGTTTGCGCTTTAAATTTCACAGCCATATGGGATGCCATGATGTCCCTTTGAATTCCCTAAAGAACCACCCCAAACAGGGCACCCTCAAAAGAAGAAGTCCCGATTTCCGGCCAAAACCCAAAGCCGCAGTTTTTCAGACCCACAGACCACAAGAAGGCACCATACCCTTTTTTGGTGGTGACACCCAGATTGGGTCGACCATCACCCAGACGCATCCACCCCATTTGCAAACTTAGTTTCCCTACTAGGGTTGCCCAGTGTGATTTTGGTTGCTTCGCAAGCACCCAGGAAATATTCCTCAAACTGAGTGGACCTGCAATGGCATTTTGAGCCCTTGCCGAATTTGCCACTCGTTATGGGTTTGTGAGCAGTGCCAAATAAAACTTCAGGGGACTGCTTGTTCGATCAAAAAGCAAATACAAGGGGGCAATGTCCAAAGGTGGAATCGACGTGTCTACTGGGCAGTTCACTGGGTGCAGAGGTGGTCCCGCAATTGGGGACTTCACTTCATAGGCCTGATTTCAAGATTTTAAAGAGAAGACACCAGCCGCTGGGGGTTGCAGAACTTTAGGAAGCGCAAGAAGGACATGTATATATTTACATACGCAACCCCCCTACCTGTTTTAATCTCCATATGTCCCTGAAAGCTTTTGCTTGGGTAAATATGTGAAACTCCCCATACCGCCCCCCTTGCCCCCCCCCTACCACCTCCGGTTTCCCGACAATACGACCTGACCTCCGGGTGCCTCCATTTTCCCCACCTTCCGGGATCGGATACAAATCGGGGGTCCCAGTGCCGGGGAACGGAGGCTCTGGGCCTAGACTTGGATGTCTTCCCCCTCAGCGAGCCCTTGCTGGCGGGGCGGCCGATGGGGTGATCCGGAGATCGGGGCAGTCGTGCCCAAAAGGTCATGACGGGTCCATGCTACCAGCTCTATGGAAGCCCAAAGAACAAACTCACATAGACGGCATGTGAGCAACCGGTGAAATGTCTATCAGCAAAGGACATTGTGTTATAGATATTGTATTATATATGCATATGTATATACATAACTATATATATATATGTATCTACATAATATATACACATGAGGAGCTTATCGATCCTAAAGCTTTGGTGACAATGTGAAACAAGACCCATGAAAAGGTTGTCTTTTTATCAGCTGGTGATGATATTAAGAGTGTTGCTCCTGTAAAATGAGCGTGTACACTTTTCAAACCTACAAGATCTGGAGGCCATCGCATGCCATGGACGTGTTGAAACACCATGCTTGACGCAAGAGTGGCATTCCTGAACCCCCCAAGACACACAGGGAAAACATGGGATCATCACTTTTGGGCGGAACCATTTGCAAAATCAGAGTTCAACAAATCCGCGTCCACATGATTCGTCTGAGGGGGAGACTCATTTGAGGTTCGGTCAGCATATCCCGATTTGTCGATGGGTGACGTCACGTGGGGTGACCCGGAAGCCCGGCAAGCCATGAATATGTCTCGCAACCATGTTGGATGGATTCAACGGGAGGCTAAATTGCCCATTCCCTGGGGCTAGTCTTGCACCCACATCAAGAAGTGCGCCTGTTCAAGGCAGGTACTTTGCGTGAAAGCAGACGAGCATCAGCTTGTCTATTTTGTAGCGAGCTCACCGATTCGGGGGCAAAACAAGCTCACCACGTAGGTCGTTTACTTGGCGATCCCTCAACTCGTGTTTGGGAACTGTTGTAGAACTTGAAAATCAGCGGGTTTGCGGCCCGTTTGCAGAACATGCCTTCCTAGCTGAACTCTTGGCACACTGTAGCCAGCTGTTCAGAGGTGATAAGGGAGGTCCCGTTTGGCAAGATGGGGCAATTCGCTTCAATGCCTCGATCATGATAGCTTTGGTAGCTTGACTTGAAATTGTCCATTCCGGATCTTGTGGCAAATGCAGCAGCACTGTTTGGTGGTGTGTTGGCAGGTTGGAAGGTTTTATATTTTGCCGTGGCAGGAGTTGCAAGGCGCTGAAGGGGAACGACCGTCGCTGCAACCGAAATGTTTAACATCATCCACGGGCAAAAACCAGGGACCGCCAGGAACGCTTTGTTGGCCAGCTTTAGAATGGGAGGAGCGCTCTACTTGGGATTCCAATTTCGGAGGCTGCTAAAGATGGTTCGTTTTGCGAGAGGCGTTCAACTGCGCTTGACGTATTCCCAGATTCACTAAAGAGCGCCTGGGCTTCTGGGTGGTGCAAAGCGATCATCATTAGTTCTCTTTGAGGATTTTCCGGACCTTTCTGGAGGCTCTGCGTTCCTTTCTAGGTGAAATTCCAGCTGGAATCAACAAGCCCCAGTTGCCCAGTGAATACCTCAAAGGCTTGCCCTTTAAACTCAACTAAGAGAAGAAAGGACGCCTTTTTCCCATGGCCACCGGGTTGCGGGGAAGAAAAGGCTGCCTACAAATGCTGCTCCAAATTGTCTGCAGAAGTGTGTAGCAAAAAACTTGAATGTTAGCGCGCGCTTTTTTCAAGGCTCCGCATTTTTGAATTGCACGTTTTTGGGCCCCATGAACAACCATCAACGAAGTTTGTTTTTGGACGGAGATCTGGGCTTAGTCCTGGCTGAACGACTCATGGAAATCGCAGCAATCCTGGCTGTCGACTCTTGGCTGAAATTTAGATAGCACAACCCCCCCCCAATGTTGATTTAGTCATCCAAATCTCGGATTTTGGTGTGTGTTTGCTGGGCAAACCATTGAAATTTGGTCCTCCACATCTCGGAAGTGTGGATCTGCTTTCTTGGTGCTGGCCGTGGATCCTTGAATTCTCTTCCGTCCGTGCGGCAGGTGGTGATGTATCCGCAGCATGGCCACTACGCCTGCCACTCTGACAACCCGGAGGATGACACGGCCTTCCCCCATCGCTACCTCACAGCGGAGGCTACTCTCGAGCTGCGCAGAGCTCTCGGGAGTATCTTTGTCGGATGTTGGGGAACAAAAAGGCCCCCCCAGCCCGAAGAGCAGAGCAACGGTCTCTACACTAGGACCGGTCTCCAGGTTTTGGGCCAGCAAAGCAGTGGACCAAAGGTCACCCGGGTCTGGACCAGAGTGGCAAGCAAAAAGTTTGGACGTGTTTTGGCGAATCCAGTCAAGTGAGTGATGAAATGACTAGTGTTGGTCTAGTAGTCATTCTACTCGTAGTCTTTGGTTGGAGAGCTTTGGCTTGAAGCGAAAGAACAGCAGCGTCCGCCATTTCGGGCAGCACCAAGTCCTGTCCAGAACCCCAGAAGTCAGGTTCCCCCAAATGGCTGGATTTGTAATGGAGTCTTGGGGACTTGAGCCTCTTGTGTACATGGATCCTCCGGCAAAAGCAATTGAGTGTGGAGGGTTATTGCATGGGAAACCGTCCCCCCAACCTCCAAACCGTCCGCCACCGATTCGGGAGCTGGAGAAAGGGAAGGCAAAAGAACAAAAAAAAGCCTCCCTCCATTTTTTCCGATGCGAAGCACCGACACTTTCAAAGATCTTGCAAACCAACCTCCAAGCATGGTGCATCCAAGAAGTTCCCTTGTTCAAATCCGGGGATCAGCCAATGGGAACGCAGAACATAATAAAACTGCCTAAGTTCCTGGACTTGATACTTGTTGGGAGGACCCTTGTCAAATACAGCGTTTGAACCATAGGTGTCCTTTGCACAGGATTTGTTTGAGTAGGAATAGATGGCCCTGGTTTTTTGGCATTTGCAGTACCAGGGCCATCTGTTTTACCAAAAGGACACCTATTGTTCGGACTTGCTTCGGAAAGAACACCTTTTCTCGGACATGAGCTTCAGGAAGTTTCAAGAAGTACCATGTACCATAGTCGCAAGCAACAACCATCCGGCCACCTCGTCTCACTTCGCTTGATTTCGGGACCGCCTCCTGCAGATCTTCTTGAACGATGCCTACGAGGGTGGAGAGGTGGTGTTCCCCTTCGCGGACTCTGAGGCAGGCGCATGGCGAATAGGGTCAAAACCAATGGGATCCCATTTTGGGGTGGGTGAATTCACCACCTGTTTTAGAACCTATTTTGGTGGGGATTGGGATGTTCACTGGGGGTACGATTTGGATTTGACCCATGGCCACATGGCGCATAGTGCTTGATTTCCAAAACCGAAGACCAGCTTACAGGGAAATCATGCGTGGTGTGCTCAGCCTTAGTGTTGGACAATTTGTCCGAAACATGCACAGGACGTGAGGGTGCAGAGCTAAGGCGTGTGACCGCCATGTGAACTCCGGATGCCTTTGGAGTCCCAATACGCGGGTTGACAGCCACCAGCCAGTCTTTGTTTCTACCCCGGATTCGAATTCAGCTTTTCCCCCGCAGCCAAGCTAGCCGTATCTTCCCATTTTCAGGGATCCTTTTCTTCGAGCCTGGCCCAAACTCTTGCGGAAATGGGTTTTCCAAAGAGAACGTTGCGTGAACACACTTGGGACATCCACCCGGAGACTCGGCCACTCGCAGCTCGGATTTCTCGAAGCTTTTGGCTCGAATTCTGCCACAGGATTCGGCGGCCATGCTTAAGTCAGGCCTTCTTTTCGCGCTCGCGGCGGGCCACGACCGTCATGACCTGCCGCGCTGGATGCGCATAGAGCCCCGAGGCGCTTTGGTGGAGGACGGGGTTGGGCAACTTTTTGGGGGTTGGACAACCAAACCCTGGCCGCCTTCAAAGAACCATCAGGGGGATGCTTAAAGAAGAGGTGTTTAAAATGTGGGCATCTTGAATGGGGATGTCTAAACAATAGGTGTTCAAATTTGGGCACCTAAGAGGAACACAATTGAAGGGGTGTAATGTTTAAGCACTAGATCGCGCTCAAGCAGAGGGCTGTCCCAACCGCGGAGGATAGGTGGCATGCGTCGGAGCAGACGAGCTACCCCGAGTCGTCCTCCCAGGACTGCTGAGACAACGGTCAGGGGACCCTTTTGGTTTAAAGGGAAAACCAAAGACACCAACCAATTTGGGGTACCCCCCCCCCCCTTTTTGAGAAACACCCATATGAGATAACCCTTTGGATTCCCCTACAAAATGTTGCACTCTTGTGGTGCGCTCTTTTAGCGCCTTCCAGCACGGAAGCTACAGGTGGCTGGGGTATCCGAAGCTAGCCTTGCTGTTTCCAAGCCAGAGAACAGGGCGAGAAGGCAAAGTTTGAGCTTCCTTTGTTCGAATCCCAGCTCTTTGGCCCTTTGCACGTGGTATCAACCTTGTTGGAAGCCAGCAGTGACTCACGTTGTTTGAGGGTTCATTACATCTGGACAACAGGTGGAGCTCAACTCGAGAGACCATGCGTTGTGTATTTTCTGGGCCTGCGGCCTCTAGCCGGCTACGCCTCTTTGAAGTTATACCATGTCATGTCATGTTTTTTGCATGAGAAACGTAGCGTGTGCTATGATATGGCTGGTTAGGTTATGCATGTTGCCCACCTTAACCCCAGAAAATGCCGGGGATGCCGGCTTTCTGGGCCCCATCCGGGCGCCAACCCAGAAGGCTGACATGGGGTCGCGCGCGCGCGCGCCAGAGGACCCAAAAAAAGCAGCCCAAAAAGAGCAGCCCGCAAGCCAGGCCGGAAACGCAAATGCAACAAAACACTGTAAATAGCAGCGTTGTGTGGCTGGGGTCGCGCGCGCGCGCGCCAGAAGGCCCGAAAACCAACGCGAAAAGAGCAAGGATCGCGCAGCACGCGAGCCAGCCACAGCAAAAGCAAAACGGACAGAACAACAGCCCAACGCTCAGCACAGCAGTTTTTGGCGGTATTTACAGCATTTTGTAGAGCGAGGACCCAGCATCGCCGGCATGCCCGGCAGCGCTTAGCGCCAAAATGCGCAAAAATGAGCCTCGCTTATACCCCTCCGATACCTTCTTAAAAGCAGTGCTTTTTGGGTGGAGAGGCTTTTTGGAAGGAAGTCTTGATGATGCAGACCAAGCCCCGCTGAAGCATCACCCAGGCCCAACCCCAGACCCTGACGATGTCAGCCACATGGCCTAAACCCTGCATATACGCGATGTTTCGTGAGGGTTTCCCACAGTCAAGCAAAACCGCAAGCCCGAGCTGGTGATGCAGAGGTGCCGGATTTAGGCCGCGCATCACGACCAAGTGGCGAGGGTCGGCGGCGCCAGGGTGCAGCCCCTATAGCTAAAGCTAGCAGGCTAATTGCCCAGCGGCGACATGCTACCCCAAGGAGGCGTAGCCGGATTTAGCAGGCTGACGCCTGATGCCGCCAACCCCCGTAACATCATCATCATTAGCATCAGCATCATTATCATCATCGTCATCACTGTCATCATCATCCTCAGCATCAGCATCAGCATCCTCATCATCCATCATCAGAACAACATCACCATCGGCATCAGCATCCTCAGCATCATGATCCTCATCCACCATCTCATTTTCATTAATTAGCATCAGCATCATCATCCTCATCATCATCATCGCCAGCGGCGTCAGCAGTATCCTCAGCATCCATCATGACAATGATCATCGGCAAGGTTAGGGTTAGAGGTTAGGGTTAGAGGTTGGGGTTGGAGGCTAGGTTTAGAGGTTAGAGGTTAGAGGTCAGGGTTAGAGGTTAGGGTGAGAGGTTAGGGTTAGAGGTTAGGGTTAGACGTGAGGATTAAAGGTTAGAGGTGAGGGTCAAGGGTGAGAGCATGATGACGACGCTGATGATGAGGATAATGATGATGATGATGATGACGACGACGACGACGATGATGATTATGCTGACGAATGATGCTGATGAATGATGCTGATGATGAGGATAATGATGATGATGATGATGACGATGATGGATGATGATGATGGTGATGATGATGATGATGATGATGGATGATGAGGATGATGGATGATGAGGATGATGCAGATGATGAGGAGGCTGATGAAGGTTCTGCGTCCCGCGCAGACGTAACATTGCCCCAAACACTTGCAGGACGATGCTGGCGAAGCTGGGGATCCTTTTTTCCCGATTTTCGAAGACCAAAAAGGCAGCTCCAACATCCCCAGCAGGCATCATCACCCCAGGCACCTGCAGCATGACGCCGGCGAAGCTGGGGATGCGAAAGCTGCCTTTTTTCACAATTTTCCCAGACCAAAAAGGCAGCTCCCGCATCCCCGGCATGCAAAGCATCACCCCAGACACCTGCAGGATGATGCAGGTGAAGCTGGGGATGCAAAAGCTGCTTTTTTGCCCGACATTCGAAGACCAAGAAAGGCAGCTCCTGCATCCCCAGCATGCAAAGCATCGCCCCAGGCACCTGCACAATGATGAGGATGATGCTGGGGATAATAAAGCTGATGATGATGGCGATGACGATGATGATGCTGAAGAATGATGCTGAGGATGATGATCGATGCCGATGATGATGATGATGATGATGATGATGATGATGATGATGATGATGATGATGCTGGATGACGAGGATGACGATGGCGCCGCTGATGATAATGATGATGAGGATGATGACGATGATGCTGCTGATGCTGATGAATGAGGATGATGCATCATCATCATCATCGTCATCATCCACCATGTCGTCATCATCATCCATCATCATCCTCATTATCATCATCATCCTCAGCCTCAGTATCATCATCATCCTCATCCTCATCATCCAGCATCATCAGCATCGTCATCCTCATCCTCACCATCATGCAGCAGCTTCATCATCATCATCGGCATCATCATCATCATTCTTCATCACCATCATCATCATCTTCATCACCCTCAGCAGCATCATCATCATCATAATCCGTCCTCGCCATCATCTTCATCATCCTGAGCATCATCAGCATCAGCATCATCATCATGATTAGCGCCATTATCATTCATCATCATCGCCATCATGATCTTGTCATCATCATCATCACCATCATCATCACCGTCATCACCATAATCAGAATCATCATCATCATGATCAGCATCATCATCCATCACCACCAACGCCATTACCGTTATTTTTCATTAACATCATTATCATAACCATCATCATCACCATCAACATCACCGTCATCATCATCATAACCATCATCATCATCATCATCATTCATCATGACTGTCATCACCATCAGCAGCATCATCAGCACCATCATCATCATCATCATCCATCATCATCATCATCCTTATCATCATCATTCATCATCATTAGCACATAAACACTATTATGATAATGATGTTGATGATGATAGATGATGTTGATGATGCTGACGATGATGCTGATGGTGATGATAGTGATGATGAATGATGATGATGAATGATGATGATGAGAATGATGATTATGATGATACTGATGATGATGCTCAGGATGATGAATGATGATGGTGATGATGAAAGATGATGGTAATGGCTGAGCATCAGTATTATTTATCAACATTATCATCGCCATCATCGTCATCACCACCGTCATCATCATCAGCATCATCATCATCATCATCATCCATCATCTTCGGCATTATCATCATCCTCCATCGTCATCATCCTCATCATCCTTATCGGCGTCGTCATCATCACCATCATTGTTAAGCATCATCACTATCGTCTTCGTCATCATCAGGGTTGGAGGTTAGGGGTCTTCCGTCATCTTCCCGCACTCTTCCGTCATCATCCCGTCAGCTCCTCGAAGTCTTCCATCATCTTCCCGTAGTCTTCCGTCATCTTCCCGCAGTCTTCCGTCATTTTCCCGTAGTCTTCCGTCATCTTCCCGAAGTCTTCTGTCAGCTTCTCGTCATCTGCCCGTGGTCTTCCGTCATCTTCGTGTAGTTTTCCGTCATCTGCCCGTGGTCTTCCGTCATCTTCCCGTCATCTTCCCGTCAGCTTCCCGTAGTCTTCCGTCATCTTCCTGTAGTCTTCCGTCAGCTTCCCATAGTCTTCCGTCATCTTCCCGTAGTCTGTCATCATCATCATCATCATCCATCCTCACGGTTTGAGGTTAAGGTTAGAGGTTACGGTTAGAGGTTAGGGTTAGAGGTTAGGGTTAGAGGTTAGGGTGTTGGGGTTAGAGGTCAGGGTTAGAGGCTAGGGTTAGAGGTTAGGGTTAGAGGTTAGGGTTAGATGTTAGGGTTAGAGGTTTGGGTTAGAGGTTAGGGTTAGAGATTAGCGTTCGAGGAAAGGGAAAGAGGTTAGGGTTAGAGGTTAGGGTTAGGGGTTAGGCGTGTCAAAAATCCGCCGCGGGACCCCCCCAACCACCACTTAGAACACGCCTCGCCCCTTTGCAGAGACTAACTTGGCTTTTGCAAAGGGTCGGCGGATTTGTTTTTGTCGTTTGGGTATCAACATCATGTACCTGCTGGGTAAACAGTTCTTGACGTAGGGCACCAACATGAGTGGACCCTTCAACAGAGTTTCGCGTTTCTCCGAGCGAGCCATTTCCAGATGATCAGACCACAGGGGGAACATTGGTGAGCTGTCCCCTTTGGCTTCCCTGGCCCGACCATTTAACTGGCGCCGAAGGGATGGCTTTGGTTTCCACGCCCTCAACGGATGCGCCGCTCGCGCCTAGGAGGGCTGGCCAAACCCCAGGCAGCATCAGGCTGCGCAGGCTGCGGCGCCGGCGCCGCCTGTGGCTGTGGCCTGGTTTGGAGAGGGAATTGGAATCAGCTTGAAAGGGTTTAACTGTTTAGGATTCCCATTCGGGGGTTCTCAAAATAGTGGGTCTTCTTTTGAAGGAAGCCGACCTAGTTTGGAGTCCATCTTCAGAAGCACTTCCATTTCTTCATTTGGATCACAGCGGCCTTTGCAGGACCCGCAACACACTCCCTCGGGACGGCAAACAGGATCAAAACTGGAGGTGTGTTTGGGGAGGTGTGTTTGGGGAGGTGTGTTTGGGGAGGTGTGTTTGGGCAGGTGGTGTTTGTGAGGTGTAGTAGGAACTATTTTATGATTGGAAGGACTGGCCAGAAGTAGGAAAGGTGTGTCTTTCCCTTTTTGGGAGGGTTGCCTATTGTTCAGTGGGTTCCACCCTCTCAAAACCTTGTTGTGTGGTGGGTCCCCGGTTAAAGCTTATCATCAGCTCCGAATAGGGATTCCTCTACTAACATTGCAGACTACACGAGGCAGGACGTGTGTACCAAGAGCCCAGGCCGCGTGTACCAAGCCGACTACATGAGCCTCAATAGGTACAATAGATGTCTGCGAGACAAATCAAGTCATACCAGGACTAACATGTCATGATTTCGCCCTTAGCCACGTTTTCCCCTACCTTTGGCGCTTTTTTTTTGGCACGTACCCAGCCATGATTTAGCCCCTAGCCGCTTTTTCCCGACGTCTGGCGCTTTTTTGGGGGGCCCATGCCAGCCATTGCCCATGCGGATGCTGCGGACGGGGGAGACTCAGGTCCAGGCCAACGCCGAGGCAAACATGAAAGAGGCAGAGGCGGCGGCCGAGAAGTTCTTGAAGCTCGGAGTCCGTTTCGCGGGCCCGTGGGCCCGCTTGGTGGCTCTCAGTCCGGTTCAAGAAGCTTTTGAGCTTTTTAGGGTTGAGTGGGGATTTCTAGTGGGTAAGCCACTAAAAGTTAAACTTTTGGCAGGGGATCTGAGGGCAGCCCAGGGGGGGGGGTGTTTCCTTTCCCGACTCCATGGCTCAGTTGTTCAAAGCCGACCTTTTTAGCCGTTTGGTTAACCCATGTTGGTCAATTTTGGTCATGACCCAAAAAGGTCAACAGGTTAACCTTTTACTTCCAGGTCCTTTGGGCAACTGAGATTGACCTCGCGGCGTAGGTAACCAAGGGGAATCACTTAAACGGAACATAGACCTGGTGACCTATAAGGGAGGCCTCCCAAGCTCAGTTTGCGGAGCCTCCTGTTGTGGGAGTTGTCAAAATGAGGGGCTTTTGTTTTGCCCTGCCTCGAAAACGGCGGGCTGTAATCCCACACATCCCCTTTTTCAGACCTTCTGCGAATCCTCGTCTTCCCTATGCTGGTTTGGTGAATTCTGTGCAGAATGATGCCCGGTTGTTGAGTGAATTCCTCGTGGCCCATTTGACTTTCAGACCAGGGGCCCTGTTAGTGCGCTTTTTGTGCGTTTTGAGGCTTGCAGTTTTCCCGTGGGATTGCCAAACTCCAACCACTGCCGGGGAAACATCTTAACAAGCCCCAGCAAAACCAAAACAGATTAGAAAAAGCACAAAAACATAGCTCGAGAAAACCAAACAACAGAATAGACATATAAGTGGAAGCTCTTTGGAAACCGCTCATGAGTTGTTTTCGTGTGTCTTGTTTGGTTGTCTTGACGTGTTGTTTTTTGCTTTCGAAGTTTCTTTTGTGTTTTAGAGTTGTTGTTCATATTGTTTGTTTTTGATTTCAGATGTTGTTTTTTGGGTTTGCTCGATTGTTGTGGCAAATTGGAAGAAGCAACCAGCTCGGCTTTCCTTATTATATCCGCTTTAATGTTCTAATTAAATCAACTAGAAGCAACAACCAGCTTGTCTTTCCGTACCAGATTCTAGCTCGATTCTGTTTAAATTCTAGTTTAGTTCTGATTTAATTATCATTAACATCCTACTTGGAAAGGAGTTCCTATTTATAATTCGAAGGGAGTACTGTTCACAGTCTATTTCAAGTTGAGAAGTCGAATTAAACTCGAATTGAACTCATGTGTGGACATATGGAACAATAACATTACATAAATGCAAGTAAGAGTTCTAATGAGATTCTATTTGAAATACTTGGACTCGGACGGGACATCCCATTTGAACTTAACGCCTTGCATTTTTAAAACTTGCAAACCACTCGGAATGAACTTGCATTTTTTGTTGTTTACTTGTTGTTCGCTTCTTTTCAGGGTTTCCTGGATTCTATTTAAAGTACAATCCAGCAGCATGTTACAAAAGTCCACGTAGAGGGCCCCGTCGCATACTCTCTTCAGCAAAGCACGCGTACAACTTGCTCGAGATATCAAACCTCAAAGTCACAAAGTGCACTACCACTGTCCCCGAGTCCCTTGAATGTATCGGGGGAGTTCCTTCCTTAGGTGTTTTCCCTTGTCTTCTTTGAAGCTTGACCAACGAAAGAGACTCACCCGTTGTGCTTTGGTTGTTTAACAGGTTCCGATCGAACTTGCACAGAATAGTATTGGTTTCTTTTACATATGATCTTAGACCGATGTGTTAGCGCCATTGAAGCATTGTGGTTGCTAGCCTTTTGGCAATCACATTGACTCCGGGATCCTGGGCCCAAATTCCGTGGATTCCTAGGTCTTCCGGCTGTGAATTGTCGATTGTTTGTTTGTGTTGGGTCTGTCTTTTCTTTACGGGATGGGACCCCAACATTGTGTGTTGTTCTTTTGGCTTCCCTTTGAAAAACAACCAAAGGGGTACCCTCCAAGAA